GTCTGTAGTAGACCCCACTGTTAAGTCTCTTTCCCCTCATCTTCCTTGTATTCTAACGAAGAGCACTTCCGTGTGCCCCTCCTCTGACCTAGTGCATTGAGGATGTGTATTTCTCCTTGACAGAGTGCCACACCTTGACCGTTCCTCCCTGTCCTATCCCTCCTGTACAGCCTATAGCCCTTGGTATTCACCCCCCCAGTTGTGCATTGGGTCCCACCACGTTTCGGTGAGCCCCACTATGTCTGGGTTGGTGTCAGCTAGCAGGAGGGTAAGTTCCTTCTGCTTGCTCCCCATATTACGAGTATTAGTGTAGAGGCATTTGAGGCCTCCTGAAGATGCATGCACTGGCCCCCTAATCTCAGTATTACCTGGGCCCCTGTTGCTTACCTGGGTATTTGTTCCACTCGTTGTCAGTCTAGGCTGGGCTGTTCTTGTGGGTGATGCTCGGTTTAGTGGTCCAAGGCTTCCTCCGCCCTTGTCTTTCCCTTCCCCCGATGAGCCTAGTTTAAAGCCCGCCAGAGGAGATCAGCCAACCTAGAAGAGAACACGCTTACCTTTGGGGGACAGGTGAAGCCCATCCCACCCAAGCATGTCTCTCATTCTGATGTATGGGTTGTTGTCTAGGAAGCCAAAGCCCGCCTCGAGACACCATTCCTGAAGCCGCAAGTTGACCTCTCTGATGCAGGTCACGTGTTGTCTTCCACATCTGCTCACTGGTAGGACAGAAGAGAATACCACCTGTGCCCTTATCTCCTTCAGCATGCCCCCCAGAGCATGCTAGTCCATCATCAGGTGATCAGGGCTTCTCCTGGCTGCATCATTAGTGCCCACGTAGATTAGGACCATGGGGTAGTAATCGGATTGCAGCACCTCTCTGGGTAACCTGTTCCAATGTTTTACTACCCTCAACGGAAAGTTTTACCTAATATCCAACCTAAACTTCCCTTGCTGCAACCTGAGCCCATTGCTCCTTGTTCTGTCATCTGCCACCACTGAGAACAGTCCAGCTACAATGCATAGTGTTTGACTATTTTTGAGTAGTGCATGAATTCATGTCTGAGTGTATGCTTGAGCAGTGGTTATAGAGGTAATTGCATAATAACTCAAAATAGTCTTACTCTTGTACGTGTGGGAATTGTGTGGTTGTATGGGTGGGTGGGGGTGTGTGGGAGGGGGTAGGTGTGTGGCGGGCAGCTCATGAGCTAAGTCCCAGGAGACAGCCAGAGGTGCAGGGAGGAAGGGGAAGGGGTACATGCAGCAGAGCTCGCTCCAGCGGTGCAGTGCAGGCGCAGTTGCTCTGCCTCCCACCCCATCCAGCCCATGGCTGGCTCCGTGGCACTCTGCATGGCACTGAGCCCTATTGCAAGGAAAATTAAATTTGGTCATGTTAAGTTGACTGAACTTAGCATCATAGTACTTAGGGTCGGAAGGGACCTAAACACATCATCAGGTCCGCCCTCCTGCCCTGGGTAGGAATGGGTGCTGGGGTCATATCACCCCAGCCAAATATCTGCCCAGCCTCCTCTTGAAGATCCCCAAATTAGGAGAGAGTATCAACTCTCTTGGGAGTCCATTGCAGAGGCTGGCAGCCCTAACTGTAAAGTAATGTCTCCTGATGTCCAGCCTGAAACTTCTAACAATTTGTGGCCATTATTCCTAGTAAGCCCGGGTGGTGCCCAGGGGAACAGAGCCTCCCCCAATTCCCGCTGGTCCCCCCGATGAGTTTGTAAATGGCCACCAGATCCCCTCTCAGCCTTCTCTTGTGGAGGCTGAATAGGTTTAGCCTCTCTTCATAGGGCCTATCCTGCTGCCCCTTGACCATGCGAGTGGCCCTCCTCTGGACCCTCTCAATGCTACCCACATCCCTCTTGAAGTGCAGTGCCTAGAACTGGACGTGGAGCGCAAGTATTTCCCTCCTAGCTAATATGTATGTATGTATGTATGTATGTATGTATGTATGTATATGTGAATATAATATAATGTAACATAATGTATAAAATACAGAAAAAATACATAAGGGGACAATTGGTTTGATAATAAAGTTCTTTTTTCTGAAATGTTTTCCTGCATATCACAGGAAAAAAAAAAAGATTTTATTCAGGTAAGTGCAAAATATTTTTTCATCCATTATTTTAACAGTCATTTTCGCGAAGTAGTTTATTAAAAGTAATTGAAGTGTTCACTGAGTAGCACAAACTTATTAAGCAGGACTATTAATGAAGTGCATGACTTCATTAGTACTGATGAAGGGTAGTGCCTCATAGAGAAATCAACATGCATGTGTATTGCTATGAGATATACATTACAAATATTTGCTGAGTTAAAGGTGCTTGCCACAATGCAATAATTAAACCGAAGTCACAAATGCATGGCACACTGACTAGGTCTGCCTTTAGCTGCTTGCCCAAGACTGCTTTGTGCTAAAGGCAAAAGACAAAGAGGTTTTTTTTTTCTGCTCCTATTCTAGACATCCAGGATCAGACCTCAAAAGTGGTTTATATGCCTTCCATAAAGAGAATGAAAAGGATACATGTAATCAAGGATAAAACCCTATGGAGTCCTGAGGCAAGATTTCTGGCTGGGATCAATATTATTAACCTTAATTAAGAAGACAGAGAAAAGAATACAGCAGGTCAACTGGCCTGTCTGTTGCTGAGCTGTGCTGGGATTAAGCAGCACACGCTTTATCAGACGGCTTATTTTAAGGATTTCATCAATTGCAATTCTTGAAAGCAAGCAGGAGATGCTATTGACAGGATCTGTAATTTCTGCAGGGAAGCCATCCAGCTGTAGATTTCAATTTATTCAAAGAATGGAGTTACTGAGCCTGTTGAAGTGTGCCAAAGCTTTGTACAGAAGAATAGTGTGCAAAGGCAGGTGCCCCTAGGAGCCTGGAATCTTATTTGAAGCTGACACAGAGAGTATCAAACAAAAGGGTGACATGGGGTGAGGCTGGACAAAGATTTACAGCATAGGGACAAATGTTTTTTTCCCTTTGTGACTTATAATGACCTCTGCTTCTCCATTTCAATCGCATGGGAGGCAGCAGTAGTGAGATATTTAGAAGGGATCTATCTGCCTGAGGAGAGAGAAGCTATTTGACAGGCTGGGATGGCAGAAGCAACAGTGAAAAAAGGCAAAGAAGGGAGAAAATGTGAGCCACTGAGGATTTTTATTACATTTAGGAAGAGCACAGACCGACTGCAGATGCTTCCTCAGCCTGACGAAGGGTATTTATACCCGAAAGCTTGCAAAGAATTTTTCCAACTATTTGAGTTGGTCTAATAAAAGATATCAGATTTACTCAAAGAACCTTGCTGCCTATGTCCTTAGACCAACATGGCTACAACCTAGACCCCAGCCACTAAGGATGGCATCACATGCGATTGGAGAGGCGGCAGAAAAGCTCTCTTGCGTAAAGAGAGACACAGACTGGCACAGAGCTGTGCAGCCCCTTCTCCAACAGTCTAGTCTCCTCTGATGCAGCAATGTTGCACTTCCTGTGTTGCATTTAGGTCTTCCTGTGGTCCTGGAGGGGCAAGGAGGCAGTGCAGTACTTACCATTTATGACAATGTCCAACAGGGGCTACATGTCACAGTCTCTATTTCCGTGTCTTTCCAACACAAGTCAAATTAAATAGAGATTTGTTCTTTAGATTTTACTGGGTAAGCAGTAACTGCCAGTCATTTTGCTATTCTAGACCTTTCTGCTGAGTGCTGGTGGTTTTGCTTGAAGCATCCATCAAATACAAAAGTCTTCAATATTGAAAGAAGGTACTCTCCACTTGGAAACCAGACCGCTGAAACAATCAACTACTACTAGCCAAAAATGTTAGAATAGAATTTATTTTTTTCAAATTCTTGAAGGACTTTTACTGAACTCCATTTAGACATATATTTTCATGCGCCTATGTATAGAAATCATCCTTGCATAAATACCCAAGAATTTACAACTTTCTTAGAAAGCATGTGACACTGGATATTACAACCAAATTTATGTAGCTGGCTTCTCTTAGCTGATGATCACATTCTGTAAATAGTCGTTATAAGGCTGAGAGCACCGTGGAAAATTTCACTGTTACATAGATTGCTGTCTCTTATTCAGGCACTTCTCAATATCATCAAGCACCTGGACTGCTGCCTTTGGAATTCGAGTCCCAGGACCAAACACGCTGGACACGCCAGATTCATAGAGGAAATCATAATCCTGTTTAGAGAAAAATGTAAATAAATAGTGAACAGTGAAATGTAAAGCACACCCTTACAGTATCTAGGGTGTATTTGTAGAACAGTAAGACTGGAGGAGGAGTTGCATCTACCCCCAGAAACAGGCAGCATTCCCTAGGCATGGCAAAGAGAAGCCAAACAGAATACAGTCTAAAAAATATGTACATAAAAAGGTTACATCAGTTTAATGCTAGAATCTCCCAACATTTCAAATGAACTAGGGATGTGGCTATTTATACCTTCATTTCCCTCCCTAATGTGCATTTGAGTAGTGTTAAAAACAGTAGCTACATTTCATACAAACTTGGCTGTATTTAAATGGAAGCAGTTCACAGTTTCAGATTCAAGGCTTCCAAAGCACAGTCATGCCAAAGTATTATAACATAGCTATATCAGTGTCCAATAATCAAGAATGACAGGTTGCTCAAGATCTAAGAGTACAAAGAGGTTGGGGAAGGGAAATAATAGGTAACAACAGGTAAAAAATCCAGGCTTGCAACACAAATTGAAATGGACCCTGGCAATTGTGCAGAAAAGCCAGCAGCACTGTAACACTGTATTACATTAAGATTGCATAAAAAATAGCTACCAAAAATAGATGTCAAAGCAGTACCTGAGGGGGGATGACGCCTCCACAAATCACCAGAATGTCTGGACGGTCAAGAGTCTTTAGCTCTTTGAGGAGTTCAGGAACAAGAGTTTTATGACCTGCTGCTAATGTGCTCACACCTACGCAGTGCACATCAGCATCTACAGCCTGCTGGGCCACTTCCCGGGGTGTCTAAAGAGAAACAAGATGAAGTGGCAAACTGAAATCAGCACTACAGTGAATAAGGAACAAGTATCTAAAAGGAAAATGGTTGCATTCAAAATACATTTAAAGGACACTGTCACCTAAATAATACCTGGAAGAGTGGACCTATGTCTACATCAAAGCCAATGTCTGCAAATCCTGTAGCAATAACTTTGGCTCCTCTATCATGGCCATCCTGACCCATTTTAGCAACAAGGATACGAGGTCTGCGTCCTTCACGATTCATAAACTTGTCAACTCTGATTTAAAAAAAAAAAAGGACATTTAAATCTTCTATTTCACCACTGTTAATTAAAAGCATACTTACAAGACAACAGGGTACTTGCTGCTATTATAGAACGATTTCAGATTACATTAAAAGATCAGTGCTGGTTGGTATGTGCAGCATGCTGAGCAAAATGGCCTCACATGCCATGTGCCAAGAGTCGCCAACTCCTGGTCTAACATTAAATTCTTACCTATTAATGGCATGAAGAATTTCATCACTCTCCCCAAATTCCTGGCGGTAGGCTCCGCTCACCATTCTGTCATTGGCCTTATGCTCTCCAAACACCTCCTTCATTGCATTTGTTATTTCTCCAACAGTGCATCTGCAATAGGGTGAGGATAATGCAATGAAAATAAGATACAGAAGTCATTGGCAACAATCCAAACTGATACTCTAATTAACGCACAAGAATACACATATAAGCAATAATACAAACATAGAAAAACAAAGAAAATTTTCACCATAACAACACACTCCACTGCATACTTTTCTCAATGTGAGGGGAAGATGATACATAAATATTCACCAGAAATAAGGCAGTGCTTTCTCTGTAAAGCACTACTGGAGAGCGCTCGGAAAACATGGGCATTTATACACATACCTTTGTCTGCTCTGATGTGCCGGAGATCTATCAAGTCAGCTCTGCATGCAAGCTGACGTGCCCGGCACTGAATCACATGCATTTTTATAAATGGCGAAATGTGCATCAATGCACAGAAAATGGCGTTGGTGCGCTTTTGAACTAAAACACCTCTGATGTGTTTTAGTTTAAAAGCGCGACACTGCCATTTTCTCAGTGTTGATGTGCATTTCACCATTTATACAAATATATGCGCCACTGCACTGGGCGCTTTTGAAGGTGCCCGACACTGCAGCGCAAGCACGTGTACAAATGCCCATGGTGTTAAGTTCACTTTAACACCCCCATAAAGAATCTATATAGAATAGGATTCAAATTCTATTTTGATTGTGTGACTCTTTTGGGTTCCCTGCTCCTTCCCATTGCACCTGGAACAATTTGATGACTGACCTTTTACATAAAGCACTCTTGCAGAAAGAGATGGCTACTGCCCTTCAAAACAATTGTTGAAGTTTGAATTCCTGGGCAATAGGAGAAAAGACTAGAAGTAGAGTACTGGCTACTTGAGTGACAAGAGACCTCATAATGCAGAGACAGAAGCATGCGCTCTGATACAGGCCAAAAAACACCCAACAGCGGTGAAGCAGAGAAATGTATACAGTTATTTCACTGCTTTATCTGCAGCTATACATTTCTTGTGCTCTCTCTCATAAAGTGTGCTGGGTTTTGGACCCATTACAAAGTCGATGCCCTTCCACTATATCACAAGTCCTGGAACAGGTGGACTATAAACCTAAGGTGCCAACCAGTTGGGAGGTCTGGAAAAGGCATGCTTGTGGGTAGTGGGGGAAAATCGGCACTGTTTTTGGGATTCAGCTCCACAGTCCACTATCCATAAAGGGGTAACACAAAGGAAGCATGCCAGAGGAGGCAAAGAAAGATATGGAGCTCTAACCTACTCCAATGAAAGGAAGCGGAAGAGCGTACAGGCTCCACGTGAGGCTGAAACACAAACACCTGGTCCGTGTTCAGCACTAGGGCTTCCATCCAGTCTGTGACAGCAGCCCGCCGCTTTGCCTGACAGATCTGCTCAGAGATACAACTCTGTTGGATGCTTTATTTTATTCTATTAGCCATTTTTCATTTTCTTCCATTCTACTTTTCCTGCTGTTTTTTCTTATCTCCCAGTTTCTCACTCCAGAATGTTTTGCTTCATAACAGGACAACTTAGGGAGAGCTAGTGTCCGTTCATCCATGTACTTGTTACTAATAAGAAAGGATCCTGGTTTTCTCCGATTAAAAAAAAATCCCCAATTTTCAGATTTAAAAAAGTAATCCAAAATCCACATTTTTCCATGATTAAAATGAAACACTACTATATATGTATCTATATGCTAGTGGCATCTCATTTTAAATCACAGAAAAATGTGGATTTTGCGTTACTTTTTTAATCCAAAAATTGGGGATTTTTTTTTAAATCAGCAAAAACCAGGATCCCTGCTAATAAGAAATATTTAGGTTGAAGCCCCATCTGAAAGCTACAAGTGTGGGTGGGTCTCATTGTAGTTACTGTACTGCTGTATGAATGTAACATATGACAGTCATTGCCCCAATGGGCTTCCAACTAATATTAGTGGATTCCACCATTCTGTGAGAAAAGACTTCTCTCTCTAAATCTAAAGTGTAGAATCTGGAAAATACTGGGAAAAATACAATGGAACAAACCAGCAACCTAAACTTGAAGGAAATAAATAGGCCATTAAAAACAAGAAAACCTACTCCTTGGAAAAATGTTAAACAGTTAATTTATTAGCTCTGCCTCATTGGTGCTCCTTGCTCTGGTTAAGAAATGGATCAAAAACCGGTTCTAGGTAATGATGCTTGGAGGGCTACTGAAGCAACTAGCAACCATATAATTCAAAAAGCAAAATTTCAAGTGACAAGTATATTAGTTTATTTTACACTTCACTGCAAGCAGAGGTTTTGCTATGTAATCCTGAATTCTCAGTTGCTTATTAGTATCCATAAAATAAAGATATGCAAAACTTGGGTAATTTGCAAGCAAATACCACTTTCACAAAGAAATGCATCTAAGTTGCTGCAAAGCTTAGTCAAACAGCAACTGACACAAAACTTATATTCAAGAGACATTAATTACAGAGAAGCAAAAATAATGACCGTGCCCCATCCAATTATACTTTTCTTTCAACTGTACCTAAATTGGCCAATTCACCAATGCATGCGTAACATTTGACACACTTAATCCTATTTAATCATTTGGAAAATACATTTGTTCTACTATATTACATGTAGCTACAAGGAATGCTTGAAGCCAAAATTGGTTTTGCAGCCTAAATGTTCTCCAAATCCTCTAATACAAGCTTCTTTGAGGACTTAGGATATCACTGTTTGAAGTCCCGTTTGGGCATGTTACATCTTCTTGCTCTTATGCTTTTACCATGGGAGTCAGGGATACAACCTTCGAATCAGAACTTCCTAGACTTTGAATGCTGAAGGCTGCAAGTGAGAGAAGCAGTGGAAAAAACCCTGATCATACCCAATTCACTCTCCCTTTCAGCATCTACTCTCTGCCACTGTGTGACACAGGATACTGGGCAAGATGGCCCTAGGGTCTGACCCAGTATAAGGCAGTTATGCTCTTGTGTTAACCAGCCAAAGAAATTATGTTCAGTTTAACTTCTATTACTATAAGTCCAAGAGTTATTACTATCTCTAACTGCAGACGTATGCAAGCTGTCAGGCATCCAATATATCCTGAAGATGACTTTCTGGTGTATTAACTGGAATCCTCTAATAAGTCTCATGTAGATCTCTTTACTTTCTGCAAATCCCCAGCTATCCTTGCTATCTTTTTCCCACACTACTCAACTCACCCTTGGAATGGACAGTTCTTCTTTGCCTCAGGAGGCCAGAACATTATTCCTTCTATCGACCTACTCCCAGGAATAACAAACTCCATTTCCTTATCACTTTGCAACCATTTAGCTTTGAGAAATCTAACGTAATATTAATAGTACTTTTCTCTTCTTGTTCTCCTATAGCTTTTAAATTTGCGTAAAACCCAAATCATCCCATAACTGGCCAAATGTAATCTGAATGTGAGCGATATGGTCAGTGATCAATATACAGGCTCATTTAAAGCACATCCAAAAGCTGAAAACCCAGAGATAAAGTTTTTCAGTGGCTGCCATTGCTATTTAAATCATCCCCTTCATTTCCATGGGATTCCTACACTCTGTGTTCATAATGGTCAAACAGAAACAGCAGCATGCTTGTTTACAGCAGGAGTGGGCAATTATTTGGACCCATGGGCCATGTAGAGACTTTTGCTGAGCTGATACAGGATGGGTCAGCACCCACCCTTCCATGGTGCAACTGCTCACCAGAACTCCCTATGTGGGATGGGGCAGTGGGTGAGCGGGGAGCAGCATTTGGGAATGGGATGGGTGGGCCTGGCCCTATGCTGTCACTGCCCAAAGATCCCAGGCTCTCCTCAGCCCCACCCACCCATGTTGCTCCGGGATGCTGCTCCCTGCCTGTCCACCTGCCTGCCTGTGGCCCCATCGCAGTCACCTGGCCAAGCACCTTGCCTATATGGGTCCCAGCCCTGGTGGTGGGTGCAGAATGGACGGGCCAGGGTGCCCAGGCAGTGGGACCAGGTCCAGTGGCTGCAGCAGTTGGAAGGAGCTGCCGCTGCTGGGGCTGCTAGGAAATGGAGTCCAGCTGCAAGCCCTGGGGCAATAGGACTGGATGCATACACCAAGGTCCAGGCTGCCCCCTGTGCCTGGACTAGGTGGGACCAAGGGACCTGCTACGAGCCTGACAATATCCCTTGATGGGCCGGATCCAGCCCACGCGCCATATTTTGCCCACCCCAGCTTACAGCTATGTAACTGCACACTGATACAATATAAAAATGTTATGCCCAATGGAGGGCAATGGAAGAAATCATTTTCATCCCAGTTTTTTAGCTTCTTTGACTTCATAAATTGTATTTGCATTCTGGTGACATATTCATAGGGAAGCTTTCTTTTTGATGGGATTTTGAACATTAGAAATTGTCTGCTCCTAGTGACATTAGGGCATGGCATCTCTCCTGCCCTCCTGCCCAGGAGAGCTGCTTTCCCTGCTGCTGGGTGCTCTCTTTCTCTGTGTTCCAGCAAACTTTACTAAAGACTCTGAGACCACAGATCCTCATTGGTAACTCTGAGCAGGGTGTGATTCTATTAGATGTAGTTTGCCATTTTTTGAAAGACTCTGGAGCTGGCCTCATGCCTTCAATTTGCCCTTTACAGCCATGAATTGCAACTGGTTCCTTCATCATCATCACTCCCCCTCTCCCCACTGGGAGTGTGGGACCAGGTGAATTTGACACCCGAGCGAAAGTAAAGCTCTCTAATGATGTTTATTTGTGGTACTTTGTTCAGCCACTAGATGTCCCCATGTGCCGTGTTTTGGTAAGTAAGGGGGATAAAGCTGGGAGATCATCTATGTATTAAATTTCCAAGCAAGCACCTCTGTGACTTCTCCCATGTTGCCCCTCACACATAGGGAGCAAATTCCTGTTATGACTCACAAAGCTACTTCACTGTCCTCCTTCAGATTTTTCCTAAAGCTTTGCAGGAAGTCAGTGTACAACTTGAATGCTGGCAAGCTTTAACATATTGGCCAATCCTGTATCGCTCTTTTCATTTACTGCTCTGTCTGTATCCATCTGTTATCTCACCTTATACATAAATTGTAAGCTGTTTACAGTGGAGGCAGGAAAAGGACTGGTGTGTTTTTGACCTGTCCTATGCCTGGGGCAGGGAGGTACTAGTCTGTGAGTGCTCCTGTGCACTGCCACAATAGTGATAGTGATCTCATAACAGAGATAGATACTAGGAGCTAATTGCAGAAATACTGTAGTAAAAAGGTTAACTTGTTAAGTCCAACATTTCACTCTAATGATCTCTGCAACTCAAGAGTGGTGCTGACATGCTTTGGAAAGAGCCATGACAAATCATATTCTGGAGAAAGATCTGTTGCACATGTGTTTGCTGAGGATGAAGTAAATGGAAAAGAATCAAATCAGAATAAAGACAGGGTGGCACGGCCTCTCTCCAGGACTTGGATAAGGATGATTTGGGGTGCCTTATTTCTAGTTCATTTACACTGACGGCCTGTTTTATTTTACTGCACTTAATGTTATTACATTTGTTCCTGAAGCGTATAATGCAGGCTTGTCCAGCATACGGCCCGCGGGCTGCCAGGCAGCCCACCAAGCCATTTTCTGAGGCCTGAGGTGCTCTGACGGGAAATGAAAGTAAACACTGTTTACTTTTGTTTCCACCTCTTGTCCCTCCCCCAGCCCCTCAGCAGCTTCCTAATGGCTGCTGAAGGGCTGGGGAAGGGACAAGGTTCCCACACACTCCACATCAGCTTGACGTTGCTGACGCGGTGCGGCTCCTCCCCTCCCCCCTCATTTCACAGCATCCCTTCCTAGCCCCACCCTCCCTTCCTCATTTGCATACCACCCCCACCCTGTGCCAGTCCCCACCGGCCGTGCTGTCTGGAGCAGTTCAGGGTGATAGCGGGCGGGCAGGCGCACAGGGCGTGGATGCTGGCTCAGAGGGATGCTGCAGCTGGGCCTGCGGGAGATGCTGCTGCCACTGCTGCTGTGGCTGTCAGGGCAGGAAGCTGGCACCGCTCCTGCCTCCCCGCATCCCCCCACACCCGCAGACATCACGCTGGGGGTGGTGAGTCGTGGGTCCCGGGGAGGGAGGGAGCCCTGCCAGTCAGGTTCGGGCTGCCCCGGGAGAGAGGGAGCAGGGGAGTGTCCCTGTATATTCCGCACTCCCCTGTAGGGTCCCTGCATGTCCCCTTGGCTGCTTAGCCCAGGTGTGCGGGTGTGGGAGCATTCTCAAGGCTGCCCAGGTGGCAGTGAGAACATGGCAGGGTCAGGCGGCGTCCCTTGACCCCTGCATCCTCAGACCATGGCTGGACTGGACAGGCCGTGTGAGTGCCCACTCTTGCTGGCCCACTGGGTGATAAAAAGTTCACGATCCGGCCCCACATTCAAAAAGGTTGGGCACCCCTGGTATAATGCAATGAGAAGTGGTATTCCAAAGCCCAAAACTCAGTCGGAAAAGGCAACAAAATCACTGTTAGATGAATGGGATTAACATCCCAAAGCTACAGAAGGTGCTGTACATCCTGTTTAGAAGCACTTATTGTCTTTAAAACAGAGACGAGTTTTTACATCAGATAAAAATGCTTCATGCCAGTTGGTGGTGCAAAGAATAAAATAGCAAAGTGCAATAAAGATTTTTTCTCTCTCTTTTTTCCATCTCAGGTATTTTTTGCAAGCTCTCTCACCTGTGACACTGCAGGGCAGTACCTCAGAAAAAATCTGTGTGTTCTAAACTGTGCAAGTGACCCGTAAATAGAAGGTGTGGGAACAGAACTGTTTTAGATTAGGTTTGTTCCTAGCAATGTGCTTTAAAAAGAAATTAAACATAGCTCTAAAAATTCTAAGAAGTATTGATGCCTGATTTAAAAAAAGAAAAAGAAAAGAAAAACAAGTTTGACCGTGGTTTGGCAAGGTTTACCTACACCTCCGAAACATTTTGGAGGACTGAACAACTATCCTGCATATCATTTTATCAGGGATAGTATATTTAACAAAGATTATCTTGGTTCCTCTTCAAAAATATCAGAGTATACATATTCAGTTTGATAGCCAATATTGCCCAGAACTATTGGAAATCTGAAAGAAGAAAGGAAGCTTTTTCTTTTCCATACCTTGCACGTGCTGCTGCGACTGCAAGCTCCAAGAGATTGCCTTGACCTGTTTTAGCACCATCTGTTAAAGCTCTAAGACATTGTTCAGCAACTGCTTTATCTCTGCAAGCTTTCACCTTAAATGCAGGAAAGAAAATCTTTGGTTAAAGCATGCAACTAAATAGTATTCCAAAGTTCCAACCCATTCCTGCTAAGGTTCTCTTGCCTGTATCATTATCAGTATTTTGAAGGAGCTGGCATAAGACCCTGGTTCTGAAAGTATTCACACAAGTAAACCAACCTGGTATTTTTGTGACAGCTTTCCCCAATCAGTTTAATTTACATTGCTAAACAGAAAAAGTGAGGCTTCAAATGGTTTTGTTTGAAAGCTGGGATTCACAAAGTGGCATAAAGCAATAATTTCTAACTCTAGTTGCTGCAGATAATTACCATAACAATGCAGGAAAGCAAGTGAAGGAAACAATATAAAATCTCTTTCTCTCTCACCACAGTATTAAGCATCATCAATTAGGGCTCTGTGAAATTTCACCAGCCGTTTCATTTTGATGCTGTTTCAACTCATTTCAAGCTCGAAACAATGAAATCAAAATGAAATGAAGGGCTTTGAAACAGCCTCGAAACAAAATGAGGACAGTTGAAAGGTTTCAAAATGTTTTGAGTTTCAAAGCAGCCCGGCTGAGTTCCCCTCCCCAGCACTACAATCCACCTGGGGAAGGGAACTCAGCCCAGCTGAGCTGAGTTCCTTTCCCCAGTGCTAGGAATGGGCTGAGGAGGGGAACTCAGCTCAGCTGGGCCAAGTTCCCTTCCCCAACCTGATGGATCGTAGTGCTGGGGAAGGGAACTGAGCGATCAGGATCAGTTGAGCTGGGGAAGCGAATCGGGCTGGGGAAGGAAACTAGGCCCGATTGCACAGCCACTGCAGCCCTCCTGGGGTTGTGGCTCCAGATCTGCCTAACAGATGAGAGAAGCTGGGTGCTGTTGCCTGGGACCGGCAGCATGCTGGCACCAGTCCCAGGCGGCAGCACCCAGCTTCCATCCCTCATCTGGCAGTCAGATTGGGGACCTGCAACCCCAGGAGGACTGGCACAGCCCCCGTAGCCCTCCTGGGGTTGTGGGCCCCTGATCTGCCTGCTGATGAGAGAGGCTGTTTTGTGCTTACCCATTACAGCTTATGGGTGAAATTTGAAACAGTGTCAACGCTGTTTCGATGAAATGAAATGGAACAGAGGTTTCAAATCAAAATGAAATTTGAAATGAAATGCTGTTCCATCAAAACGTGGAAATGCAAGTCAAAATGGAATGGTGCCTTTTCGCAGAGCCCTATCAACAATACACTTTTAAAATATCCAGTATCTACCAAGTTATTAAAGTATGTTACAAAAGCGTCACACATAATACATGACAACAATATCATGTGTTTCTGGACCCAGCTTTCATAAAACACTGGTTCTTACATTAGGGTTGTTGGCTGTAGCCATGTTGGTCTAAGGCCATAGGCAGACAAGTTTCTTTGGGTAAATGTGGTATCTTCTATTAGACCAACTAAATAGTTGGAAAAATTGTTCTTTGTAAGCTTTTGGGCGTGAACAACCTTCTTTGGGCATGGAGAGAGTCTGCTGGTATTGTGTGCGCTCTCCTGGAAGGAACAGAAGCCAAAATGCAGGTCTGTGAAAATGCAAATGTGTGGCAGTGAGGAACAGAGGGAATGGGAGACAATAGGTGTGAGACAGGTAGGTGGGGTGGGGAAAGGGGGGAACGTTGAACTGGTGATAGAATGTAGCTGGTAAAATACAGACAGGTTACCTGTGTTATCAGATGGCAGGCAGGTTGTAATGTGCCATAAATCCAATATCTATATTGAGTCCATAATTTTTTGTATCCAGTAGATTTATGAAGTGAAGTTCATAGGCTTATCTATGAAAGGTGTTTTGTAAATCCCCCTTGAGGTTCACTGGATCAGACATGTTACATTTCTGGAAGTGCACGTGTGAGATCCAGGAATGGTGATGGTTCTGTTGTGGGATGTAGCTATTGTGGTAGTGGCAGAGATGTGTTTGCAGGTTTTATAATTCCCACAAATCACACACCGTTAGTTATGACATACCATCCTTCCCTGGAACCAGTATGGAAAATTCTTGCACACCAAAAAATCAATCAAAAAATACCCAGTTACCTGTGGGTGCACACTTCTCACAAGACAACTACTCTCTCTCCAATCGCTCAGTTCTAAACCTCAAAGGGAATTTACAAAATAACTTTTGTAGACGAGCCTATGACCTTCACTTAAAACATGTACAGGATACAAAAAATCATAGACTAAATATAGACATTGGCTTTATGACACATTATACTTGCCTAACATCTGATAACCCAAGCAACCTGTATGCATTTTACCAGCTACATTCTATCATCAGTTCTACATTCTGTCCTTTCTCCCCCACCTATCTGTCTCACACATATTGTCTTCCATTCCCTCTGATCCTCACTGTCACACATTTGCATTTTTAAAGACCTGCATTTCACATTTTGGCTTCTATTCCACCCAGGAGAGTATACAAAACACCAGCAGACTCTCCCCATGCCTGAAGAAGGGTGTTTGTGCCTGGAAGCTTGCAAAGAACAATTTTTCCAACTATTTAGCTGGTCTAATAAAAGATATTGCATCTATCCAGAGAACCTTGTCTGCCTGGATCTTACGTCTACATTAGTCCAATTTTCAAGATAAGAAAGCACATGCTACGCTCATGTACATTATCTACAAAAATATGACAGAAAACTAAAATATGTGTTAAGGTGGCCACTGGTCCTGTTTCATACTACACCGTCCTGTTTTTATCTCCCTGTCTGTTCCTGAATGAGAAACAAACTGCAAAAAATCCTGTTTTTCAGTTCATTGGTGGAAATGCATGTCAATCATTTGTCCTCACAATTCTATTGGCTGTGCTTAGAGGTATGGCAGTACACAGCCAGGAGAAGCAGGGCTCTGAGCCAGTCAGGGAGGGAGGGAGGTGGAGGATCCCAGGGGCTGGTTGCTCTCCACCTGCATGAGGAGCCGTGGCTGCAGTGCATGTGCAGGCACAACAAGAGCTGAGGCTCTGTTGCATTCTCGGCACAAGGTAATGGCTTTGAGAGCAGGAAGATGGAGCTGTATCTGCTGATACAGATCTGTATCTGCTGGACTGGCAGGAGGCTCTTGTCACTGTCTTCACATCCACAGAGCAGGCCAGTGAGCCCCTGGGATGTCCTGCTGCATGGGGAGGGGGAGCCTTGGGCAGAGGGGCCTCTGGGCTCCAGGGCCAGCTCACCAAGCCATTATGTCTCTTTTGGGACAGGCAAACCTGTCTGTCCCCTGGATAAGGAAGGGGAGGTCACCACTGGGCAGCTGGCTGCACTGCCACAGGCATTCAACACCCACCAACTCTGCTCAGCCCAGCCCTGACCAGAATGTGGCTAGGGCAGATTCCTGGGGGCCCAGTGTCTGTGCTAAATGCTGATGGGGGGAAGGGGGGATAAGGTCCCTGCACAGTGTGCACTCCTGGCTCTCAAGCGTGGAACTGGAATGGAATGAGACTGGATCCCAGCACGGGGAGGGGGTGCTCATGGCTCATACCTGCTATGCCATGTTTTTTCATGGCTGGATGGTTTAGAGAGAACAGCAGAGCCATGGGGTACCTGAAACCATGATGCAGGGGGAGCCAGGTGAGCTCCATGCTGGCAGAACTGTAGAGATTCACAGACTTGCTGATGATCTTAGCATTTGCTCTCCCTTGTTTCACAGGGTGCCATGTGTTCATCAGAGTGGGGTTCATGGACAAACAGCAGTCTTTTCGTGGTGACCCTGCCACTTGCCGCTGATTGGCCAATGGACCCATTGATCCCACCCCTCACTGCCGACTGGTCAAGGGGGACGACCCAGGGGATGACCTGTAGCCTGGGTCAGCATCAGCGGCCACCCTAGTGTTAGGGCTAAAAACTATGTAGCCCTAACAATGTGGGAACCAGAATCTACTAAAATGCCAAAAAAAGTTTGTTTCAATAAATGCACAAGATACACTGAACAGACTTAAATAGAAACATTAATTCTATGCTTAATGAATGTCCAGAAAGGCTATTATGTATTACAAGAAGCAAAACTATGTATTATGACGCAAAGACAAATATATAAACTTGATATGTACAACTGCAATGTTAAAATAAGTAAATTGACACTGTCTGGTTAATTTTTTTATACTAAATCTAAGTTGGCAGAGCACAGTTATTTTTTTTAAATAATTCTACAATGCAGGGACTTTAAATAATTACAGCTCATATGAACTATTGTGGCCAAATACTGAAGAAACTGAAAATTCACTGTTTCATTAAAAATTAGAAATTACATGGGAGTAAAATAATCTTCTGAATACAGCATTTTAGGCACGTTAGCCTTCAGCAGAAACCTTATTACAGGTTATAGTTTTAAAGTACTTCCTTCTGTCTTTTATACTCTCACTTATACTCTTTAAAGCTATAAGAGGTCCATTCTTTTAATTTAATTGTTTGACAGCAATTGATCCACCTTGTCCTAGATGCACAGATACCTAAGCATCAGACAGAATGTGCCTGCTCAGTTCCTCAGCAAATCAGGGACATTTTAAGATTTACTTGATTCAAGGGAATGCTTTTTTTTTTTTTTTTTTTAAACAAAGCAGCACAAGCCTGGTGATGTACCAACAAGAAAAACGAATGTACCAAATGACAGATGCAATTATTACCTGAAAATATAGTTGTGCTGCTTCCTTCCTTCATCTTTGGCTTCGTTCCTTAAATCTTTGTTATTTTTTGTATTCAGCTAGCACTTTTCTGGCTCAATCAGTACTGGAGCCGCAGAGTTAGGTGGTATATCTCAGTAAGTTTTTGAAGGAGGTACCTACTTTTCTTTTTTTTAACATAGGTAAAATTTTGTTCCTAAACCCCCCCAACAATATATCTAAGCATACATAGAACAGACAATTTATTTATAAGACTTTCTAACAACTACAGTATGCATGCACTTCCGAAGTGGCCAACAACACCACTCCAGAGTTGAATCTTCTCTGCAGAGAATACAAATTGTGCTAATTGTGATCTTTTTCATGTCATCTTGACAAATAGCCAGTATGAACTGTGATGAGACAAAACTTATTTTTCTGAAACTTAAGGGAATTTAAAAATCAAGCCTTCAGAGGGAAAGAAAAAAGAACTCATAATACCATTCCATTCTTCTGAGAAGTAGTCATAGTTTATTTTCAGCTCAATTTAATTTCCTTGTTATCCTAAATCTCAAAAGTAAACAATAATAACCCAAATTTAAGGAAATTATGCTTCATGAATTGGTATTGAGAAAAGTTAAGAGCATCACATTCGGACACTCTCTTTTTAAGAGTTTTAAATCTTTCTTGGAGCTTCCAAAACACTGAAGTAGCATGGAAACAGGAACAAGAATGATTCAAACAACTTCCTCAGGTAGAAGATTGACTTTGTTTTCCTTAACTGCTTTCAATATTTTTGAAAGTCAAATTGGTGGATCATTTTTACAATTGAGAAAATGTTAATTTCAGATGTGAAAATCTTAGGTTTTACAGTTTTATAAATGCAGCACATGCTTTTCTCTTTATAATATGCATAGCAGAACGATTTCTGTGATTTTTACAAAGCAAAACGACAACAATCATGTTTGGATTTCAATATTCTATTTCCAGGGTATCTAATCCAGTGCCACTAACGTTACTGTGCAGAACCCCTCTTCTTGCTAATGGCATTGGACTGGATCTACAGAACAAAACTTTTGATGAGCTTTCCTTTGTCTCTCAGTGCAAGAATTTAGATTTTCAAAAATGCAGTACCTACCTTCTCAAGCTTCTCAATCTGCTTTTGGCGAACTGAAGTGTTATCAATAGCCAGAACTTCAACTGAATCCTCTTTTTCTAACTGGTACTTGTTTACTCCAACAATTACTTCAGATCCTGGTTTCCAATACAAAGACCAAGAATTTATGATATATTAACAATATATGCACAAACTGCAGAGCTACTTTTTGAAAGCTCATAGTATTCTATGTAGCTAAGTGCTTGTTTGATAACTTAAACATAATACCATATTTTTTATCATCCTACATTTATTTTTATTTTTAAAATTTCTCTCTCAAGGAAGGAATTGTTTATTTTTGTCATATTTTATCGTGGAGAGACGATTACGTACAGGAACTCTGATCTGTATGCTGAAAAGTGATGTAAAATATATGGCATTTCTTACTTACCTATAGAGTCAGAATCATATCTACTTATTATACTATCTGGAATAAACTATATTTCTCTTATTTTTTTACTTCATCAACGATGCTTTATGAACTCATTAGCAGTTAACACAGGATCTTGCTTCACAGTGTAGACTAGGCAAAGCCCTAAAAACTAATCTTGCTTTTAGTACTTTTCCTGGAAAGCTTTTGTGCAGTGGCAGACCTCCTTCAGGAAGTTCTCACTGATATTCAGCCAAAATCTCCCATTTTCCTTTGCTGCTTTACTCCTAAATCTAAAAATCAAAATTTATTTAAAACACTGCTTAAATGGACTTGAAAACAGCATACTTTGAAGCTCTATTCATTTTCTCTTGTCTGCATCATCCCCTTGACGAACCTACCAGAATCAATCCTGGCTTGTCTGCGAGCGGCACATTCCTCAATCCGAAGTTTGGGAATTCCCTCAGCTACAGCTCTGGCCATTCCACCCATTTCTTCAATCTCGTTAATTAACTAAGGAAGACAAGAAGAACAAATTAAGAGGATCGTTTGCAACAAGGTTCATGAAACTAACTTTATGATTGTATCATAGCTTTTTCTGTAAAAGGAAGGAACCTAAACAGTATATCATTACTAACAAACTTATTCAGTATGGAGTTATCAGTCCTTCTCCTATGAAGAGTTTGCAATTCGAGGGTGTGATCCTATTTCTTGGCTCCCTGCGGACACATCTGTATGCCTCTGCAAAGCTTCACCAGTTTTGATAGGGCTCTGCAGAGCAATCCATTTATGTACAAACAACTGCTGAATTAGATCCTAAGCCCCCGTCTTTCAAATAATTATATATTTAAATAATAATTTAATTGTTCAAGTCAATAATCTTAATATTTAAATAATATTTAAATAATTTTGGTTTGTGCAAGTAGTTCCACTGACATCAGTGACAGTGCTCAGTCACAATGTTACTCGCACGTACAAATATTGTAGAAAACACTCTAAAAAAAAGATAAGTGACATCTAACAACTGAAGCAAGAAGGGAGAGTGAATAGGCAAGATTCACAAAGAAAAGCCATCAGACTTGCATCTAAACTCTGGCTAAGTTCTATTCAAGAATAAGAAGTATTTTTTATGGGTCAAGTGTTATTTTCAGGACCTTCTCTTTGTGCTGCCAGCTGTGGCTTGTTCCTTGTCTCCCCACAGCCTTAACTCTCCATCTAAAACCTCCCACCTACTACATACCGATAGTGTAAGATAGGTGTCAAACACACAGCTCATACATCTCCATCATCTGAACTGAGAGACTTCTGGAGAGGCTGGGAATTTGGGCACAGGGCTCACTGCTGAAATCTATGCTATGGAACCCCACTGGAGATGCGTTTAAGCAGCACGGTGTGAGTGATAGCTGCATTAATCCCTGGGACTCCCTAATAAGTTCATCTCTGGATCCAGCCCCGGAGGATTACCAAATTCCAGATCCAGCCTAGAAGCTGGGGTGGAAGGGGGGTGGAAACTAATTTGAAATCTTTGGTGTAACAGATTTACAGATCCTAAACCCAAGCCCACAGATTTACAGGAAGTAGATGTGCAATACTCTAGTCTCAAATACTCCTAGTCCTTATGGTCTCAGGGTGATTACAGTCTCAACTAAATTGCTGCTGCAATAAGTAGGCATATGCATTATAAGTGTCTGACCTGCATTTCCTTTTAAGCATGTATATTGCTGGATTGAGAATGTTAAAAGTTGGGATCTTAAATGTGAAAGCAAATACGCTTTTTAAATGTGAAAATAAATATGCAAATATGCTGTTTAGGAGAAATTCAGTTCCCTCTTCAAATCTACCAGCATAACAAGTAAACACTTAAAAGACAATCCTTGAAACAATTAGTGGCCCCACAAGATGCACATATAACACTGACCTGTAAAGCAGCTTCATAGACTTCATTGGTGAGACATTCCATCATAAATGAACCTCCCCATGGATCAGCCACTTTAGGAATGCCAGACTCCTCTTGTATTATGATCTGGGTATTCCGAGCAATGCGAGCGCTTTTTATTGTGGGCAGACCCAACGCTTCATCAAATGAGTTTGTGTGCAGTGACTGAGTACCTCCAAATACTGCTGCCATTGCCTCAATTGTAGTACGGATAATATTGTTGTAGGGATCCTAAAGAAAAAAGCAAAAAGCTCTGAAGCGCGAGGAAGCTGCAATGAAAGTTAGACAGTTTCTTCCATCTGCATGCTAGTACAATGCAAATAGAGTTCAGTTGTCAATACAAAGATTGTATCGTATCTACATTATACAAAAGCCAACTAACTTAAAAAAGTAAAGGTACAAATGATATGAACATGACCAAGGTGAAAGGTCTTTCATAATGATCTTATGGAGATTACAATGAAGAACCCATAAACAAACCACCAAACTACATATGTATCAAATATTTAAATGTTCCAACAAAAACAAAATCCCTCTTATCCCTAGTTTAGTTGAGTTGAGATAACCAGGCAACCCTCACTCCAAAATTCTTAAACAAACTGCAACAGCAGTGCTGAAAACAGACACATCAGGCTAGAGGAAACTTACTGGTGGAAGTAAAATTCCTCAAGGAAAAGTCTTGGGACCACCCTTATTTAATATTTTCATTAAAGACCTCTACACAAAAAGTAGGAGCAAGTTGTCTAGCTAAAGTTAACAGGTATCATCAATAAACAAGAGTGTCAGCATATTATACAGCAACCTCCCCCCAACAAATTACAGCAAAAAAGCAAACTTAAGTGCATGACCTTGAGCACTGAGATAATGGAAATAGGTGAGGTTTGACAATGAAAAGTACTAGGTCATGCACTTAATATTTTTGGTGTTGTTCCCTGCCATAAGTTGGAAGCTCGTAAGCCGGAGACAAGTGAAGAAAAGGAGCCAGTTGCAACGGTACAGGATGTATGGACCACTGACACATCAGAGATGTAAAACACACACGTGTGCACACAAAAAACGAATGCAACCCTAGAAAAAGTCAGCTGAAGCATTTTCATTAGATAAAGGGAAGTATTAATGGTACTGTATATGGCCTGGTGAAACCTCAATTTGGAATACAGCTCAGGTTGCATATGTTCAAGAAATATGACTATATACTGGTACAGGCACACAGAAGGGCTATTAGGATGATTAGGGGAATGGACAGCCTATTGTGTAAGAAGAGACTAGAGGAGGCGGTTTGTTTAGCCTAGCAAGATGAGGTTGAGAAGGGATGATTGACTTTATCAATACAGTGTAGAGCTGGGGTGTAAGAGGGACCTCAGGAAGAGTAAAGAGCTATTTAAAGGACAAGTAAACACTTGCACTTGAACAAATTCGTATAAGCTGGCACTGACTATATTTAGGTTAGACATGATAAGAAAAAGTCTGTAGTCAGAGGTGTGAAGTTTTGAAACACCCTTCTAATAAGAACAGTGAAGGCAAAACTTTCAGTTGCTTTTAGGATGGACCTTGACCATCTTGGAAGGGGCCTTATAGCATATTGCCTACAATAGCAGGCAACTGGATTCAGTAACCCCAATCCTGTGTTCATTAGATCTGATCATCTGCGTGACAAACCTCTCTCTGATGTCTACATGGTGCTTTATTTATAAAAAGTACCACTAGTATAACTGCAGATTATTAGTGTTAATAGGGCACCTTTTATTAGCGGACATAAAAAGTCCCCATTTAAAAGGTAGTTCACAGAGCCTCACGGCCTTCCTGTGAGATAAGAAAGTAATTCATTTATTTTGAAGAAGAGAAGTGAAGTGACTGTAGAGAAGTGAAGTGACTGTCCCTTTCCAGCACAATGAATCTTCCTCCCCCACACCCCGAAGTGGCACAGCTTCAGCAGCAGGGAGGTCCAACCCAGACCAGACTATTCGCTTGGCAGAAGGGAACTGAAAAACATAGGTTTGAACCCCCTCCACTTTGACAGTGGGGTATGCCCCAGGTTTCCTATTCTGTGGGCACAGCCACAACCACTGAGCTACTGTGCAAAAGCAGGAGACCAACACCTCCTCCAATTCTCGTTAACCTTTGATAAAAGAACAGAAAGTTCTTGGCTCCATTTTTGAAAGAGACAGTTTGGGCATCTAAATCCAGGAAAGGGTCTTGGGCTGGGAACCCAGCGTAACACATGCACCACTCCCAGCCAAGATTTAGGTGCATAAGCCCTTGTGATGAGCAGGATTTAAGACATAACCCTCTCCTAAGTTTTGTACTGGCCAGTACAGGCAGTTTTGTATTCACTGGGATTCACAGCTACCAGCAAGGTCTAAGGAACAAAATTCTTTTCTGGCATTGTATGGGGAGGTTAGATGTCTAGGGCGCTGACAGATGCTCAGATCCCAGCTCTAATTCATGGCACTTTGTATAAAGTGCCATGAGTTAGATAGCCCTCCCCCACAACAGACGTTTGCCTATTGTGGGGGGCATGGGGAAATCAAACCTGCCTGCAGACGAGCAGCAAGTTAAAGAGTGAGGAGTGGCCCCTCTCTCCAATCCCCCCCAGATCTCTGGCTGTCAGCAGGGAGGGACAGGGAAGCCAGCAGGAATGAGCTGCCAGCTGGACTTTGCCTGACCTGAGCTGGAGGGGGGTGGTCAGTGAATAGGAGCCCCCCCCGCCTTGTGCCCCCTCCCCAGCTAGGGTTTGGGGGGGGAGCCAGGCCGGGCTCGTGAGGCAGGGGGTTCCAATACATGCGCCCCCATCCTCTCCAGGTCGGGCTCGGCAAAGCAGGAGAGGTGGAAAGGAGCAGAACAGCAAGGGCTGCCAGCCTGCCCAGCCTGAGCTGGAGGGGGATATGGATGAGAGCTCCCTGCCCAGTTCCCCTCAGTACCCAGCTGGGAGACCGGGCGGGGGGAGGCACCTACAATCCAACCCCCCCCCCCCCC